CCCCTTTTTTTGAAGAATGAAACTCCTTAAAATATGAGCTTTTAATAGCAGTATAACAATAAATGCTGAAACCACTGGAAGCCTTAGATACTTATATAAACATTTCTGGAGTGAGAAGAACATGTTTTACAGTTTTACAGTGACTGCTGTGGAAATAAGGATTTTTATCAATGAAAAAAGCAAAAGCTAAAGCAGTGTGACAGACTTCAGCTCCCATTTCACACGTAAAATGGGCCTAAATGGGCCTAAGGCCGGCTAGACGAAAAGTGGGGGGTGGGTCGTTAATGGTGGTGTGTGTGTGTGTGTGTGTGTGTGCGTGTGTGTGTGTGTCTGTGTGTGAGTGTGTGTGTGTGTGCGTATGTGTGCGTGCCTATGTGTGTGTGTGTGCGTGCCTATGTGTGTGTGTGTGTGTGTGTGTGTGTGCGTATGTCTGTGTGTGTGTGTGTGTGTGTGTGTGTGTGTGGGACCTTTGTGATCTGGGTGGTGGTGGTGGTGCTGATGGTCTCAGACGTGATGGTCTGGGCGCTCAGCAGGACCCCGGAGTCCCTCTCCGCCACGCTGTCCACGGGCTGCACACACACACACACACACACACACACACACACAGCTCTCAGGGTCACTCAAAACCACAAAAACTCACATTCCTTCACTTCTGAGGCGTATTCTCAGGTTAAATACGTGTCCAGGTTTTTTATTTATTTATTTATTTATTTATTTGAATAGGGACAAAGCACATTAATGGACATCAGTGAAAACAAATGTAAATATGCCGGATTGTAGCTACAAAGCTAATTTTCATCCGTAGTCCCTAGTTGAAAAATAACATATAATAAACAATACAAGCATCACAATTAAAAGTTTAGATTTTAGTGGTCACATGACTGGCTTGCTTTCATCCAGAGTCCACATCAAATGCCATTTTGTGCTGTTTTATGGCCTGAAATTCAGTCAAAATAAGCTACATACGGTGACTCAAAATGGGAAAACTCGAGATCGGTTCAGAAAATAATCTGTAGGTTAAAATGGTTGTATTTTATGAATATTTTGCTTTTGGACTCTTGTACACTTTTACTATATCCATGTATTACTATTATTGCTGTTGTTATTATCAAGGCTTCTTTAAATCTAAAATATCATTGTTCTCCTGGAATACAGAACGTGATAAGATATGTGCTATACCCTCTACAGCAGTGGTTCTCAAACTTTTTTCAGTGATGTGCCCCCTTAAAAATATATTTTTAGTCAAGTACCCCCTGACACAGGCAAAACATTTTTGGAAGAAAAAAGAGGTACAGTGCTGTAATATCACTGTCTTATTTATTAAAGCCAAACGTAACCATGGTAACGACAGGTCGTTGACAAGTGCGCTGGGTCCGTGGGTCAAACTAACTTGGTGGGGGGGTCCGTTTTATTTTAAAGGATATTGAAACTAAATACTGGATATAAAATGCAGTGCATGAACACACATTTATATCCTATCGAACTTTTTACAGAATAATTTCTCCCAAGACTTATTATGAGGAGCCTACTGATTTTTAAAATATATTTTGAAAAGCTTCACGTACCCCCTCCAGTACCTCCACGTACCCCCAGGGGTACGCGTACCCCCATTTGAGAATCACTGGAATAGCTTATGAGGCTTTTTCTAAGGTTAAATACGTGTCCAAGTCTGCATCAAATGCCATTTAGTGCTGTTTTATGGCCTGAAATTAAGTCAAAATAACCTACATACGATGACTCAAAATGGAAAAACTGGAGATCGGTTCAGAAAATAATCTGTAGGTTAAAATGGTTGTATTTTATGAATATTTTGCTTAGGACCCTTGTACACTTTTACTATATCCATGTATTACTATTATTGCTGTTGTTATTATTAAGGCTTTTTTAAATCTAAAATATCCTTGTTCTCCTGGAATAAGATATGTGCTATACACTCTACAGTGTGACAGACTAGACCCAATTTCTGTTTTATTTTTATTATCATTATTTATTGTTTTCTTGTGTTTATTTATCTTTTATGTTTACCTGCCTCTTTCTGTTCCCCTGTATGATGCTAAATGCTTGATAACCCGCATTTAAGGCAATAAAATAAAATGAAAAGTGTTTTCTGTAATTGGCTTGAAGCTAATAACAGATTGTAACAGATTTAAATTAATGTTGTTCAGATCTCTGGACTATGTGCTGATCTCTTAAAGTCCGGTAACCTGATTATAATCAGCAATCTGAAGCTTAACGAGGCTCCTACATGTCTGATTTGTTGAATCTTGTCTTGTGTAAATTGGACATTAACAGTTAGTCCTTCTTTTGGGTAGAAACTCCCCAAACTGACAACTAAAAAAACTCAACAGGAAACATAGGAAGTTCTGGCCGACAGCTGAAACGATTCACAACAAAGTGACAGAGCGAGGAGGACAGGATCTGGAAGCTGAAGCCCAGAAAAACATGGGGGTCGATTAGCTGAGGGGGGGCTGACCGGCCTTAAAGGAGACATATTATACCCCATTTCAACAAGTTAAGCTAGTTCCCTGGTGTCCTAATGTGATGTCTGTGACAAGCTTTGGTCAAAATCCCATAAGGATGAAGCCCAATAGCAGTTCAGTCCCCCTGCTTAACCCTAACCCTAACCCTAACCCTAACCCAAAACAGCCCCGTTCAGAGCGCTCGCTTTGGAGTGCCTGTCTCTTTAAATGCAAATGAGACACAGGCAATCCACCCACTTCTTCAGGGAGGTGTGCCCACGTCGGCACGCTAACGCTACCATGCTAACGCTACCATGCTAACGCTACCACGCTAACGCTACCCTGCTAACGCTACCATGCTAACGCTCACGCTACCAGGACGTCTCCACAGATAGGGGAGTAAGCTGAGGGGGTGGGCAACATGCAGGTGAAAGGCTGGAATATTATAATGAGCTAGATAATATATAATAATATTAATATTATAATAATAATAATATTATAATGAGCTAGAGCTAATGACGTCAGAAACTACCCACTCCTGAAACCTCCTGATTTATCTCCTGGATTCAGACTGAGGCGGCCCACAAAAACATGACCCAGTCATTTTTTTTCACACTTTGCCTGCTGATAGGCCCTCCACACTCCCAAATGTACACAATCAAATGATTAAAAACTTGGTTTGGCATAATATGTCTCCTTTAATGTGAGGGCCAATGAAAGAGGCAGAAGAGAGGCTGAGGAAGTCACTAGAACAGAGACTAGAGGTGGATCCAGATTCAGAAAGAGCCCAGTAAATGCCTGTGAGACTCAGGCTTTGAGACCCAGTTCGGTGAGATTTAAACAGAATCCCCGAGGCTCTCATGGGGCCGGACAGTAGAAGATCTTCACCTCTATTTGGCTTTTTCATCACTATAATTCCCTCTGAGCATGAGCAGACTCAAGTGGGTTTTCTTTTACTGGTTTATCTGAAGTCTTTTGGAATTTCCAAATCCACCTTTAAAACTAAATAAAGTTAGCAAAACGCAAACATCAATGAGACAAACAATAACCTGCAGAGCAGAGGAAATAATACCTAAAAAGCAAACAAATAAATAAAATACCTCGTTGGCTGCATGCTGCCAGAAAAAGGGAATTATCTAAATCGTGAAGATACTCCATTCACGTATTACCTTAACTTCTGCACAATATTTAACTTTGGCATCATTGATTCTCGCGCCAGAGCTCAGAACAAGACTCCTCGATTTCAAAATAAAAGCGCAGCTCTCTAAACTTCAAAACTAAAGCAAATCCACTCTATTCTAAATAAGAAATTATAAAACAAATAGGACTTATAAATTCCAATAAGACAAGAACCCCTTGAAAAGAAAAACAAATTATAGACTTATAATATTTGAACGTTATGTATAAAAAATCATTCCCCTCTGGGATTATTGACCCTATACAGTAATGCCAAATGTACATATTTGATACGGTTTCTGAAATATTTTGCGTCTAACACCTTTTGCATAATTTAATGGTAAAAACTTTGCTCAAAATCCTATTGTACACAATCAGATACACCTGATAACAGGGGGCATAAGACTACACGAAAAATAATCTGGATTTATCGCATAGTAATAAATTATTAATATTAAAAAAGTATTTCTGTTTTTTCTTTTTACATATTTTGTTAGAAGGCCAAATAAAGATTTCAAACCAAAATTATTTTCTGTTTTGTTTTATTCTTGGATCAGGCTTTAAAGGGTTTAAGTATTTCTGATTCTGAGTCTAATTCTGAAAACAGTACAAACAACAACTCACTGCCTGAAACCCGAACGGGTCTTTTGGAAGTCTAAAATATAAAACCGGGACCCGTTTTTTTTAGCTCTGGTTGAGGCCTGCCTGCGTCCCTGAGCTCCCCTCACCTGTGCAGACTCGTACGTGACGGTCTTGGTTTCGGTGTGAACTAACGGCACGTCCTGGTAGGTCACAGTTCCTCTTAGGGAGTTGGTGAGGTCTGAGATGGTGACTGTCTGGGCCTTTAGCACCGGGGACTGCAGAGTCAGACACACAGCAGAGAGCTCACTCAGGTTCTCCTCAAAACAGACCTGATATCAACCTCCTGGTCTCCTGTTCTGATGGAGGACGCTGCCTTTCTGCCTTTCTGTACCAGGATCCTGCTTTTTTTCTCTGACCTTTGACCTCTTAGCCTCGTAGCAGACGCTATCAGACACTACTGTCTTTAAAGGAGACATATTATACCGTATTTCAACAAGTTAACCTAGTCCCCTGGTGTCCTAATGTAATGTCTGTGACAAGCTTTGGTCAGAATCCCATAAGGATGAAGCCCAATAGCAGTTCAGTCCCCCTGCCTATCCCTAACCCTAACTCTAACCCTAACCCAAAACAGCCCCGTTCAGAGCGCTCACTTTGGAGTGCCTGTCTCTTTAAATGCAAATGAGACACAGGCAATCCACCCACTTCTTCAGGGAGGTGTGCCCACGTCGGCATGCTAACGCTAGCATGCTAACGCTACCATGCTAACGCTACAACGCTAACGCTACCATGCTAACGCTCACGCTACCAGGACGTCTCCACAGATAGGGGAGTAAGCTGAGGGGGTGGGCAACATGCAGGTGAAAGGCTGGAATATTATAATGAGCTAGATAATATATAATAATATTAATATTATAATAATAATAATATTATAATGAGCTAGAGCTAATGACGTCAGAAACTACTAATTTTGGTTTGATGATAATTTCTCATTTATTTGTTGTGAAAAACAATAAAAGCTTAAGTTTTGATTCTATTGACATTATTAAAAATATTATTTATCATATTTATTATATTATATTATTTTTATATAATATTATTAAATGATTTTTGGTTTGTCATTTATTTGTAATGGTCTTATAACTGTATCACTGCCAAAAAAAAAGCTTTCATCCAGAAAAGATCAATTTTTAATTAAGCATAATTAAAACAAAAAAAAACAATGAAAGCTGAAAAATGAAATGGATGAAAATCAATGAAAATGAAATTATTTTCTATATTATTTTTTTGTTTGTCATTTATTTGTTACGGCCTTATAATTGAATCACTGACAAAAAAAGCTTTCATCTCTAAAAGATCCATTTTTAATTAAGCATAATTAAAACAAAAAAAAACAATGAAAGCTGAAAAATGAAATGAATGAAAAACAATGAAAATTAAATAATTTTTTATATTATTTTTTTTGTTTGTCATTTATTTGTTACGGTCTTATAATTGTATCACTGACAAAAAAAAAGCTTAAACTAAAAAAATCCCATTTTGTTCAGTATAGCACGGTACTCAGATTGCAGTTCTGCTACCATAATGCTGAACAGGACAAGGTAAAAAAAAAAAAAAAAAAAAAAAATCAAATTTTTAATGAAGCATAATTAAAGAAAAGCTGACTCTAATATAATAATATGGCTGGAAATTAATGAAAAGCTTAAGTATTACAGACTCTAACACAGTAATATGGCTGGAAATGAATGAAAAGCTTAATTATTACAGACTCTAATACAGTAATGTGGCTGGAAATGAATGAAAAGCTTAATTATTACAGACTCTAATACACTAATATGGCCTGAGTGTTTATCTGGACTCACCGCGGGCTGCAGCTGGCCGTTGATGCTGACCGTGCGCAGCGGGGAGTTGGTGGTGGACAGACGGCGGTCCCATTCGCTGGGCCGGGGCTCCGGCACCGACTCCATGAAGCTGCGCTTCAGCTCGCTGATGCTGGTGTGGTGCCGCATGATCTCCGTCTGGGTCTTATCCAGGTCCTTCAACAATCAATCAACAATCAATCAGTCCTTCAGTCAATAAGAAGGACAAAACGAGCAGAAACGCTGACACGATGAGTGAAATGAGCGGGAAAATAGAAGGAAAACAGAGGAAACGGGGCGGAAACCAAGCTGCTCTGTGATGTGTGATCAGAACTAAATGGACAAATAGGCTATAATAGTGGTCATTAGTAGGAATTTTCCCAAATTTTTTGCCATGTTGAGAATAAAAAGCAACAGGCAGGCCGAATCCCCGAGCTCAGACATGAAAAAGGACGAGCTTAGCATGCAAAAAGCTGCATTAAAAAACAGTAAGAATGAATAATGGTGACATGTTTGATCAATTTGATCAGGATTTTATTATAAGGAATTATGAATCTCTGTATTATTGTTGATATTATTGTTGTTTGTCTTGATGGTTACTGTGAGTTACTGGAAATCTGTTCCAGTTAGACTTCAGTTTAGTTGAAATCTAGTTAAGTATCCTGATTTCTATAGTATATGGCTCTTTTGTTTTCTGTTATTGAAAAAAAATCCAAGACATTCCATATAATGGGACTTGAAAGAGTTTCAAAATGTTTGAATCAAGAGCCCAGGTCCATTTTAGGCTTAGCATCACAAACTGTAAGAGCTAAATGCTTGAAAGTGATTTTTTTTGTTAATGTTTATGCATTTGGCAGACGCTTTTATCCAAAAAAAACATCCGCCAAATGCATAAAATAAACATAAACATAAACAAAAAAATCACTTTCAAGCCTTTAGCTCTTACAGTTTGTGATGCTAATCATTTTTAAATGATATTACATGACATGGATGGCTCAAAGCTTCTATCAAACGTCCCTTTTGTGTATAAAACTCAGTTTAGGGAAACCAGTTCAGTCACACAGACGTGGTCCGTGAAGATAACCAATCAAATTAAGTATCACGGGGAGACGGGGAAAGAGGAGGAACAGGTTCAAATTGCTCTCTGAATTGGTTTTGAACGGGATGTTTTTACGATCACACGTTTTCTTAGATGGAAATGTCAGATGGAAAATGCAACACCAAAATGGATGTAAAGCTACTTGCATGAGAGTCAGACAGGAAAATAGTGCATGCTAACCCCCGGGGGTTAAGCTACGAAAAGGACAAACAAAAAAGGACAGAAATAAGTAACGAGCAAAATGAAAGTTCGTGCAGGCAGAAAAAAAAAACAACAAACGTTCCACGAAACAACAGGAAGAGTCGTCTGAGGAGCAAAGATACAAACCTCCAACATTAGATTGCTATGTCTGATATAAATAGTTTCACCCTCAAGTCTCTTAGCTCTTCTCTGTGGAAAATGGAGAAAAGGGGAAAAGCTTGTGGTGAACCGGGTTAGCAGAAAACGGGATTCCCGTGATCAACAAACAGCTTTGGGACTCAGTTATGGAGGGAGGGCAGCAGCATGCCGTGCACGAGGGGGGTCTCAGCATGGGGGGGGCTCAGAGAGGAGTCATGGCAACAGATCTGTCATGTTCACATGCATCGGGGGGGGGGGGGGCAGAGTCCGGGCCCCTCTGGACCTGCAGGTTTTAGAGGTTTTCCTTGTTTCTACACAGCTGGTTCACCTCACAGAGACCAGGACCAGAGGAGGTCCAGTTCAGCCAGAACCAGGTGAGCAGAGGCAGGGAAACGGCTAAAAGCTAAAGGACGGCGGCCCAAAGAGACCCAAAGGGGACCAGAGAGACCTAAAGAGACCTAAAGAGACCCAAAGAGGACCAGAGAGACCTAAAGAGGACCAGAGAGACCTAAAGAGGACCAGAGAGACCTAAAGAGACCCAAAGAGACCCATGAAGACCCAAAGAGACCCAAAGAGACCCATAAAGACCCAAAGAGACCTAAAGAGGACCAGAGGGACCCAAAGAGACCCAAAGAGATCTAAAGAGACCCAAAGAGACCCAAAGAGGACCAGAGAGACCCATAGAGACCCAAAGAGGACCAGAGAGACCCAAAGAGACCTAAAGAGACCCAAAGAGACCCATAAAGACCCATAGAGACCCAAAGAGACCTAAAAAGGCCCAAAGAGGACCAAAGAGACCCAAAGAGGACCAGAGAGACCCAAAGAGGACCAGAGAGACCTAAAGAGTACCAGAGAGACCTAAAGAGACCTAAAGAGGACCAAAGAGACCCAAAGAGGACCAGAGAGACCTAAAGAGACCCAAAGAGGACCAGAGAGACCCATAGAGACCCAGAGAGGACCATAGAGACTCAAAGAGACCCAAAGAGACCTAAAGAGACCTAAAGAGACCCAAAGAGACCCAAAGAGACCTAAAGAGACCCAAAGAGACCTAAAGAGACCTAAAGAGGCCCAAAGAGACTCAAAGAGACCCAAAGAGACCCAAACAGGACCGGAGTCTGACCCCCCTGACATAGAAGGATGAAAATGTCTGAGTAATAAACAATAATAAATATCTGAGTTGTCATGGATGCGGTCTCACACATTAAAAGTACAACTTAAGAATAAAGGTCAAAGGTCACAGTTTGTTCAATGTAATAAATGAACCACCAGGTTTAACCACTCAGTAGACGGGTCAGTAAACGCCTTATTAACTTGTTTGGATTCTAGTGACATTATTATAAATATCATGTTAGTTATTTTGGTTGTTTGTCATTTATTTGTTACGGTCTTATGATTGAATCACTGAAAAAAAAAAACTTTCATCTAAAAAAAAATTTTTCAATTAAGTATAATTAACGAAAAGCTTCATAATTACAGACTCTGGTAATATGTGCATCAGTGTGTCTTATATTCAATTTAATGAGATATTTTGACTAGAAATTAGACAAATTCACTTGGTAATATTGGGATTTTTCCAATGTAGAAGAATTTAGAAATCAAACTCTTCTATATAAAACTAGAATATTTTGGTTGGGTGATAATTTCTCATTTATTTCTTGTGAAAAACAATGAAAGCTTTCGTCCAGTCTGTCTTAAGTGTGGTCAGTGGTGGGCAGACTGCTCTGGTTGGGATGATGTGTCCACACAGACAGGCATGAAATATAACAATAAAAAAAAGCTTTCGAGATAAGCAAAATAAAACAAAAAGCATTCCTCCACATGGGGGCGATGCGGGGATGAGAGACCGGTGAGACAGAAACCCGCTAACCTTCCTCATTCGAACCATTTCCATCTTTTTGTCCTGAAGGGAAAGCTGTTTCCACACCAGAGGAGAGAGGGGGTAAAGACCTGATCTCTGAGTGAGCAACAGCTTATTTCAGCAGAAAAATCACATGCAAACGCATTTTTTAGGGCAGCTTCCCGCTCCCTCGAGGTCAGAAACCCATTTCTGATATTTAACCCTGTAATGCCAAATGTGTCATATTTGATACGGTTTCTGAAAAGTTTTGCGTCTGACACCTTTTGCTTAATTTAATGGTAAAAACTTTGCTCAAAATCCTATTGTACACAATCAGATACACTTGATAACAGGGGGAAGAAAACTACACAAAAAATTATCTTGATTTATCGCATAGTAATAAATTATTAATATTAAAAATATATTTTTGTTTTTTCAGGGGGGCAGAAGACTACACAAAAAATGATAATAAAAAAATACAAAAATAATAATAAAAAAAATAATCTTGACTTATCGCATAGTAATAAATCATTAATATTAAAAATGTACTTTTGTTTTTTTCTTTTTACATATTTTGTTAAAAGGCCAAATAAAAACTTAAAACCCCCCAAAAAAGTAATTTTCTGTTTTTTTTTATTCTTGGATCAGGCTTTAAAGGGTTAAAAAAATAGATCTTCTCATAGGAAATCTGATGTTTAACTCGAAGTTTGATGTAATTCGGCCGTCTAAAACCCTGCTGGCAGATTTAAGCCTTTGTAAAAAAAAAAACGTCTGACCATGAATCAGGCAGAACAAACCTGGCTCTTTCTGTCTTTCTCCCCACCGGCCAGAGATGGGGAGTGCCTCCGCGCCCGCCTGGACACGGTCTGGTAGCAGACACAGAGTAATACTTTTACTTTTACTTTTCCTGCTCACATCCCTTGAATCAAAGGGTTGAAGGTTTGTGTGTTTGTTGACTCCCATTATCTTAAAATTGCCCTTTTTTTAACAGATGGGATTAAAACCTATCAAACTCTGGTTAAAACCAAAGAGTCATCACGTTTGATGGGCGTTCAGTTAGCTATTGAATCTGGTTAAAGAATAGATAGATAGATAGATAGATAGATAGATAGATAGATAGATAGATAGATAGATAGATAGATAGATAGATAGATAGATAGATAGATAGATAGATAGATAGATAGATTCATA